TTTTTGGCGAAAGCCGAATTGATGGTCAGGTATGAGTCTGTTTTGTTGGATAAACGGAGTAAGGCGCTTTAGAAACAGGATTTCCATAACTTTTGACAGGATCGGAAGTAGACTTATTGGCCGATATGATTTGACGTCTTCTGGGCTTTTCCCTGGTTTCGGTATTATGGAGATTTGTGCTATCTTCCACTGTGGCGGAATAAACCCCCTTATTATCACAGCGTTAAATAGATGAGTGAGAAATACAAATCCTTTTGGTGGGAGCTGCTGCAAGGCCATGCCTGTGATTAAATCGTATCCTGGAGCTTTTTTTACTTTTAACTTTGTTATTACATCTCTAACTTCATTAATAGTATATCTTTTAATTGGAAGTTCCAATTGATAAGGCTCTTGTAGAAAATTAATCCTTTGATTCATGACATTAGGCATATTTTGGTTATCATTTGATTTAAAGACCTGGTCCAAATGTAACGCAAATGTTTCTGCTTTTTCAATATCGCTTTTTGCCCATGAGTTGTCGATTTTGCGTATAGGTGGTGGATAGACAATCGGTCTGTTGTTCTTTTTTATGGCTTTCCAAAGGGAATATTTTGTATCACATGAAGCACTTAGGTTTTGAAGGTATAGCGACGTGCGATTATTGTTATACTTTAAAAGAAGGGCTTTAACGAGTTTACACAGTTTGTTTAAGCGAGTTTTATCCGCAGGGAATCTCGACTGTTGCCAATGTTTTCTCATCCTACGCTTTTCTTTAATCAGGTATCTAATGTTAAATGGATAATCTAGCTTAACACTTTTAGAAATTGGTGGAGTTGATTCCCATGCAGACATTTGGACACAAGAGTTGAAATGCTCTACTGCTTCAGTTACGTCAGATTCAGTTTTTAACCTGACTTCGGTATTTAGACCAATTGAAATTAGTTGACGGTAACTATTCCAGTCAGTGTTTTTATTATGAAGAATACATTTTTCCATAATTTCACAGCAGTCATTGAGAGTGATTATTATTGGCGAGTGGTCAGATGACAAGTCGAAATTGGACTTACAGGTAGTTGTTTCAATACGTACCCCCTTTGATACCGCAAAATCAATTAAGTCAGGTATTTTTCTTCTATCTGTTGGCCAATATGTGGGTTCACCTGTTGAGATTGTGTGGAGGTTGAGTACATTTATTGCTTCGAAGAGTTGACGTCCTTTTGGAGATATTAGGCGGGAACCCCATTTTAAGTGTTTAGCATTAAAATCTCCGCCTACTAGGAACCTAGATCCAAGCAGCTGAAAAAAATGATATGTACATATCTTTCGTGATACTGTGGCGCGGTGGGCTGTAGAGTGATGAGAAAGTCATGTCGCCTTCTTTAGTTTGTACTACAATGTTTGTTGCCTGGATTTCATTCTTGCAATATGGTTTTGCTTCATAATGTTTTATCGAGTTCCTTATGAGAACCGCAGAGCCACCATTTCCTTTACCACTGGGATGCATTGTGTGATAAAGTTCGTAGTTCGGAATTTTAAAGAAACTACGCGTCGTGAAATGGGTTTCTGATACTAGCATTATGTCGACCTGGTTTAATTTTAAAAATGCTTTTATTTCGATAGCATGTTTTGATAGACCATTAGCGTTCCATATGACTACTACTAAATCAAGAATTTTGTTTAGTCGTCAAGTTGATCAGTAAATTTGTCATTACTACGATTTGTTGCATCATTTGCTTCAACAGTGATGTCATCTCACGGAATTCTTCCACAAAATTATTTGGAATTGGTGAAAGCTTCTCCTCTGTTTCGCTACTGGTGTTTGACTTCACTATTTGTGCGAATGTTTCAGGTGAATGAGAAGTCGTGATGTGTTTTTTGTTTAGCGAAGGAAGAGGATTTTCTTGAATTTGTACTTCCGGCGCCCTAGGTCTTAGTTGGGGATACATTTTTTTTGCAGGTTTTTGTATATTTGACATCCTTTGTAGTTGGCCGGATGATTTCCTTCACATAGAACACATTTGACATCATTGGATCTGCTTTTCCTTTCGCAATTTACAGAAGCATGATTTCCAGCGCACTTGACGCATTTAGGTTTGCGGTGACAGTATCCTTTTGTGTGCCCATACTGTTGGCAGTTTGCACATTGAGGGATTTCCCGTTTCGGGTGAGGTGGTTCAAATGTAACTGTAGTATACAAGAGTTTCTTAACCAAATAAATATCCTTATTATTTAGGTTTGGTGCAAGTTCAATAATAAACATGGGGAGAGGTTCACCTGACCCTCTACGTTTAATGTTCCAAACGTTTACAGCCGTATGTTCATGCTCCAGAAGTGCATTTTTGATTTCATCAATATCGGTTGAATGATGCAAATTTTTCAATATAACCCTAAAGCTTCTCTCTGTTTTTGGTTTGTAAGTGTAGAATTCAGTGTTTTTTAACTCCAACTGCTTTACAATGCTTACGTAAGAGTCAGATGTAGAAGGTTGAACTCTTACTTGACTTGGATTTAGCACTTTTAAGTCGAATTGATTTGCCGCATGTTCGTTTAACACATCTATTAGAGGCTTGATACAATGTACCTTATCAATAAATATAGGTGGAGGTTTCATTAATTTTGGAACCGTATCATTATTTTTTAACGATTCTTCAGTTTCTTCAGAGTCATCTTCCTGGAGATCTGCGTATCGGTTTGGTTTGACGGGTTCATTTAGCCAGTATGAGTCTAGCTTGGTTTGTTTTTGGCTTACTTGATGATTTTTACTTGGACTATCGCGTTGACGTTTTCGGTTATTAACTACTGTCCAAGTGTCGTTAACAGAGGTTTCGTTTCTGGTGGTTGCAGCTTGATTCGATCCTTTATTTTGGAGGAGGTTATTTTTTTCTTCATTATACAATTTTTGAAGCTGTTGTTGAAGTAGTTGAATTTGTTGTTGTATATTTTTCACCTGAACTGATTTAGCCTTTTTCTCTTTTAGATGACCCGAAGTCGCATTGCTTGACGCCTGCCGCGTGTTCATATTAGTTTCTTTGCGTGTGTTGGATAGTATTGTTTCGTGTTGATTTGGTGAACTAAGTTTTATATTATCGTTTTTATTATTTATTAATTTAATTTTGTTAGCGATGGCGATTTCACTAGCTATTTTTGTTATGCTTGATTCGATTTTTGAATTTTCTAAAAGTTTGTTTGGGGAATTATTTATTATTTTAGAGTCATCAGTGTTTAGTGTTATATAGCCATTTAGGCCATTTTCACTAATTAGAGAGTGCCGACGTACAACTTTTTCGTAATCGCTCATACAATAAATTTACAATATTTTTACAGTAAGTTTATTTAATTTTATTTTAATTATTTAAAAATTTAAATTTATAAATAAGTAAATTTATTTATTTTTATTTATTTATTTTTATTTATTTTTATATAAGTTTGTTTTATTTTACTTTTAGTAAAATAATTGAAAAAAAATAAATATGTAATATTTGTTTATGTATTTAAATTTAATTCTTGAAAGTTACACTGTGGCAACACTACAAATATAATTTCTTACTTTCGATCATATGCTGTCTCTATCAGCTGTTTGAGCAAAACTTAATTTTGATTTATTTTGTGTTGGCTTTGTTATTTCTTTGCAAACTTAAAATTTAATTTGATTAACAAAAAATTTTTTATATTACAGAAAAACTGATTAACACCGTCCACTGGCACTGTTTTTTCACAGATTCCTTCATTTAAGGTCTATTGTTCAAATTATCATAACTTTGAAATTTAAATTTAACTATTTCTAATCAAAAAAGACAAAAGTTACGGAGTGAACACTTTTTGCGCGCGCTTTCGGTAATTTAATCATTAAAACTGAATAAAACTAACTGAATAAAATGCACTTAATCCATCACATAAAGACTGAAATTTTA